GGGTTGGCCCCCGGCTCCCGGCCCGGGCTCCCCTGTCCCGGGCCCGCGCCTGGGCTGCGCCGCGCTCCGCAACGTGTCCGGCGCGCAGTACGTGGGCTCGGGCTACACCAAGGCCGTGTACCGAGTCCGCCTGCCCGGCGGCGCCGCCGTGGCGCTCAAGGCTGTAGACTTCAGCGGCCACGATCTGGGCAGCTGCGTGCGCGAGTTCGGGGCACGGAGGGGCTGCTATCGGCTGGCGGCCCACAAACTGCTCAAGGAGATGGTGCTGCTGGAGAGGCTTCGGCACCCCAACGTGCTGCAGGTAGGAAGGTGGGGGTGCCTGACCCCAGTCATTCTGGTTGGAAGAGAGCCCGTTGGTTCCACTAAAAAATGGAGTTCCAATGACTGAGCCTGATTAAACTGGGTGAAGAAGCCTAACCCTGGCGCTTCCCACTGCACAGCCCTGCCTCGCTCTCTCCTGGGCGGGTGTCCCTTTGTGAGGGACTACTGGGCTTCTCAGCTTCCACATGTTCCTTAAAGACAGAGACCAGGACAGAGGCTCCTAAAACTCCGGGACTGAGACAGTCCATTAGGACTTAGGACCCTGATCCTGGCTGGAGAGAGGGTGTTGAACCCCAGAGACTCCTCAAGCCAAAATGACCCCAAGCCATTGAATAGGATTCAGAGCAGGAGAAGTCAGCCCTGAGTCGGGATCCCAACTGCAGTAATAGGGTAGCCCTTCTGATGGAGTCTGTACCCCACTTCTCTTAACTTCCAGGGCTTGTATGGCTTTGAAGATGGGGTAGGACAGCAACGAGGTTGGGAAGGGTTGGAAAGAGACAAGTGTCAGGCTTAATTCCCAGAGTCCCCCCGCTGCCCTACCCAGAAGCCACTGGAAGGGGGATTGAGGAGTAGGCCAGAAAATGTAGTCCTTCCCAGAAATGACCATGGGGTTTTCAGGCTTTAAAGTGGGCCCTTAGACCACTGGGAAACCTCAGGGTCTTGGTGCAATAGATAGACCAGGGGCCTGCAGGTCCCAAATGTCACTCTATCTGAGTGTAGTACTAGCAGCTGGAAGGTAGAGAAAGCCAGATGCTCAGGTTCCTACGGAATGGGACTCTGCTTCTCCTTTCACTGGGGGACAGAGAGGAGAGATAAACCCCCTTTCCCCCAGCTAGACTCGAACAGGCCTCTCACAGCCTCTGCATCGCCCCACTTCCTGTCTTCCAAGTCCCTGCCCTTGAGTCTGCCCTAAGACCAGGCGACCACTGCTTTGCACATGTCTGAGCAGACTGAGAGGGGAATCCCTGACAGCTCTGGCCCTGTGAACATGGTTTGTGCAGACTCCCATGGGTAAATCTTGCCCACACCTTCCACTTTCTGCCTCAAATGAACCTCTCTGCATCCAGCAGAACCAACAGGCTGGAAAACCAGAAGTCTCTCCCTCCTTTCCCTAGGAGCTAGAGGGGACCCAGGCCTGGCAGAATGGGTGGGCATTGCAGAACAGGAAGGAAAGGCCAGAAAGCTCTAGATACTCTAGCTGGCTCCAGTCTCCTCGAGGGCACCCGCTCCCTGTCAGACACTTGTCACAGGGTCCTGGGCTCTGAACTGGTCCCAGGAAGGCGTCAGCCAAGCCAGCGGTTATGTGTGGGTACTCCTGGCTGCACCGCAGACACTGCGTCCAGAGCTTCGGGTGGGGAGCGGCTGGTTACGTGGCCATTCGAACTGGGAGGATCTCGTTCTCGCCTCCCAGGGGCTCTTGGGAACTTTTTTGAAACCCTGGAGTGTCAGCTAGATTCTGAGAGGGTAGGGAGGTCTTGAGTGACCTAGTAGGGCACTAAGTGTTTAGAAATTGACTCTAAATCCCTTTCCTTTAGGACAGGTTTGATGTTGGATGTGCTTTCCATTCTGTTAAAGAACTCCCTCCCTCACCCCACCCAGACTTCCTGACTCACATCCAGCTAACCTGCTCTCACATACATGTCAGAGTGGCCCTCCTCTGCAATGGCAGACCCCCAGCCCAATTCTGAAGATGCCAAAGAAAACATTACACCTGAGTATTCCCTTCCCGTTCCCTCACCTAACGGAGACCGAGACCGGTGGTCTGCCCTGGGTTGGCTGTGTGGCGCTAGTTGGCAGAGACTCGAGTCAGCTGCCCCAGGGTGTAAGGGTTCCTTAAGTAGAGAGGAGGGACCCAGGTCCTTTCCACCCAGCGAAAGTGAAAAGTGCAGGTCCCTTAGTATGAGTTTAGAGCCTGGTTTGGAAGTGGGTATCCCATTTAGCCCTGGACTGCAGACCAGGGTCCCTGTGGCTTCTTCAGCCATGTTACCTCCACCGCCATGGGATTTCCCTGCCTGTGTGCAGGAAACTAGAAGCAATGTTGGTTTAGTACTTTGTAGCCATTTAAGTTTTCAAAACTGTTATTGCTGAACTGGGAGGAGCCAGAGAGCCCTTCTGGAGTACCCGGATACCCAGGTCACCCTTGGGCCCCTCTCCCTTTCTGGACAGCACAAGGTTGGGGCTGTGGGTTCTAATAGAAAATGCCCAGGTTCCTCTGTGCACCTCCCCCTGCTTGCTCTGCCTCACCAGAGACTGCTTAGGCCAGGTCCCAGGTCTTTCTGTCTATCTTCCCCAACCCCTCCCTGCCCTGTCCCCAACACACACACACACACACACACACACACACACACACACACACGATAGATGCCTCTATAGCCCAGGATCAGAGGGCACAAGGGTCTTCCCTCCCCCCAGCTCCCACTATCCTGGGGGCCTCAGGCCTTAGATGGGGCCCCAGACCTATTGGCCCCAGAGTCTGGCCATGCTAGAGTATATTTATTCTCCCAAACGAACAAAAGATGCGACTGAAATGCTCAGCCTCACGCTTCCTGGGGGGGGGGGGATTAATGGTGTGTTTTTATTTTTTCCTGAGGGGTGTTGATTAATACCTCGTTAACAACGCATTTAACGACCTCCGGGTGTTTAATAACCTTCAGAAGTTTCCCACAAAGACTCAGACTCTGGGCAAGAAAATGAGAACCAGGCCCCAGGGCTGCTCCCCCTACCTCCCCCCATCCCACTGGGGTCTGGGGCCTCCCTGGGCTGATGAGGGGGAAGTGTGGAGGAAGAGGGAAGAAGGTGTCTGGGACTGGCCCTTGTCCCCCAAGTAGCCCAGGTGATTCAGTGGCAGACATGGAATTATGTCTTCCCTCATGGGGGGGGCAGCTTTCTCCAGGGAGGGGGACTGAAGGGGCACTCACTGGAGGGAAGCGGGCACACAGGGCCTGGAGTGAGCTGGGTGGGCTGTGAGTGATGGCATGAGGGGCGATGGTGTCCAGGGACACCTAACCCCTGGGCTCAGCGTCCCCATCTGCACACCGCCACCATGCAGCTCCCTCTAGTTGTCCTAACGTGGCCTGGACAACTCTGCCTTTGTGCTCCTACCCCATGGGTGCTGGCTGTTGCGAGCACCATCTGAAGCCCTCGCTGCTGGGGCGTGTGCTGGGAGAGGCTGGACAAGCACGGCTCTCTCTGGCTGCTGGTTTAGGTGTTAGTGACAAAGCCAGGCTGTGCTTCAGAAGTCCCTGTCCAGCTGGCCTATATGGAGCTCCTCCCCCGGATAATATGGCGTGGGCACTTCCTGTACTGTGCCCCCATAGAACTGATCTTCCCTGGGTATCCTCCTTCACCACCACCCCCGTTGACATGTCACCCACCCACATATACAAAGGACACCCCTCAGATGCTTCACTCTTCGCAGTGCTTGTTACCCACCCCCAGGGACCTTGCTTTTCCTCGCACAAGGCCTGAGCGGAGAAATAATGAAGCTGCCATGATGAGGAGTGGACAAAGATCGCAGCAGGGGAGGAGATGTAATAATGCTTGCCGGCTTGTGTATTGGCAGCATTCTTGAAAAGAACCAAGTAGAGGAATCAGTGACAGGAATTCAAATCCCAGCTCCTGTGTGTATTAGCTGTGTGGCCCTACACAAGCAATTTGACCTCTCTGAGTTGGTTTGCTCACCTGAAATTAGAGATGATAATAGTACCCCCTGTGCTGGTGGGTTATAAGAATTGCATTATTTAGCATGGTGCCTGGCTCACGGTGAGCACATGGTGGCCAGACCTGCCTATTTACCTGCACTGCAAGAAGTGAGGGCTGATG